TTCTGGTTGTTGGAGTAGCCAACATGTTAATGAATCTTGAAATTCGTCACGTTGTAATTGGGGGAGGGTGAATAATAGATCAATTTGTCCCCCATTTTTGACTTAGTGTGTAGAGAAGTACTTTTATCGCATTACCAAAAGGAAAATGAACCCTATTGTCCGCACTTTGTCCGTCTGTACCACTATTAATCCTTCAGTTTAAGCTTTTTTGTTGTGATTTCTTTCTTAAACGGTGTAGTACAGCCCAGAGACCAGAACGATAAAAGTTTATTTGGATAGGTCACTTTCTTTCAGTGTTATTACTGATTCACAAAAACTCGCCATTATGTAAACTCGTCCCAGATAAATTCTGTGCCACAAAGGAGAATTTCCACTTTCTAACCAACAAAGTATTTGGACAAATACAAATTTTTCTCGGTTGCCTTCAGCTCAAAGCATTCGGGAATTGTAAATTGAAAATTCTGAATCCAAAAATATAATCAAATAGGGAGATTATGGTACTATGTTCTTTATTTTTAAGCTTTAGGGACCAAAAGCCCTCATTCAATGTTATATAAAATCTTTAGTACGAAAAAGATTTGCATAGGTATTTATTCTCATAATTATATAGATTTACTCGTCCCGAGAACGTTTATTGCTAAGAATATTCCTCCTAGCAAAGTCGCTTCCAAGAAACTGGTTCCAAAAAAAATTAGCCCAAATACACCCCACCACGGAAGATTAAAATATTTCGCCTTTGTATAAACGCCGTGTACATCTCCTATTAAATTAATATCCCGATGCTCGAAAACGTCAAATTTATATCGAGATGGACCCAAACTTCAGTTTTTGTTATCTCCTAATTAAAGATGTAAATGCCGCATTTGGAAGGTTACTCAATTTGCTAACCAGATCGATGTCATCTTTTAATATTATTCGTTTTGGTACAAAAACAAATGAATAAGAAACGTTTGACCAAAATTCTTTTTTACTACAATACATGGATTATACTTTATGATATCTAAAATAGGCAGTTTTTACCCTTTTTCTTTACATGAGAAGTAAGATCTCAGAAAGTCAAACTCAATCAAGGAATAAAAATAGTGTTTTTATTCAATGCAGAAAGCAATAAGGTGATGAGCTGACCAGTTGATATTACCATGGAATTAATTTAAGATAATAGATAAAAAACAAAGGCAAAAGGCAAAATAAATTTTTTTCCAAAAATTTGAGTCGCATATGAATTAAAAGTAATCGCCAAGCATCCTTAAGTTTCACGAAACTGACCAAAACATGCCTTTTTGGCTTTTTGACTGCCCATATCTCGAAAACGGTCCATACTGGTGCAGTTCTGTCTTTGGAATTCGATTCTTGTGAAAAATACTTACCATTCAGCCTGAAATCTCTTTTTTGTCAGTCAGATATCATTTTCAGACCATACCAGTGACTGAAAATAAACAGAGTTTTCTGTGTTGAAGACGCTCTTGCCTGATTTTGAAACGATTTTCACGAGAAATCCAAAGCCAAACCTAATGCAACTTGTGATAGTTCGGTGAAAATTAATGTACCGTCTGAAACATTTTTAATCCAAAACATACTGATTTTTTCTAGTCAGGTCGACATTTAAAACTTTCAAAAGCAAACACATCATCCATTTTGACCATATATGTTGAAAAGTTATATAACTTTAAAGTGGATTTCCTCAAAATACCAAAAATGACAAGTCCGTGAATTTATAGTGTTCACTTGAAAGGAGTTAAGTTCTAAGTATCTTATAATATTGTGCTAATTTGTGCTGCTAATTTTAAATGTGGTGCTCATCACGTTAATGAGTAATTCCATTTTTTCTGGTGACTCGCCAACTTCAAACTGTCTCAATTTGATATTTTCAAAAAATGATTTCACCATACTTTTGTGCACATTTCGAGATGCTAATTTAAGATGTGCTTATTCGGTTAATGAGTAATTCCTTTTTAGTGTATTTTCCTAAAAGTAAAAAATCGCTATTGGCTGCACTTGGTCGTCCGTCCGTCCGTCACAACACTACTTCTGGGGCTCATTTCAAAGGGCTTGGTGGAAGGAGTCCGTGCGTACCGATATTTTTGGTTTTGCAATGCTAATTTTTTATTTATGAAGATATTTAATTGAAACTTTATAGGTATGTAAACACTACAAGTATAAGTGAAACTAACGACTTTTCAAAATATTTCATAATACTTTCTTATTCGTCAAAGCATTTAAATGCAATTTGATACATAGGCACTTCACATACCTAGGTATAGTTACTTATTTAAGAATATTAAATTTATTAAAATAAAATAGGTTCCAAACTGTAGTGCATATATAGCGTTCTCAATAATTACTGTCATTACGAGTAATTATACAGGAAATCTCTTAAAATATGGAATTGTGTAACTATTATGTATAAAAATATGGTGCTTCGTGCCACTCAAGTAGGGGAACGTGAGGGAATATCGACTACTTAAGGATTTTAGGGACTTGCTGGTGCATTTACGACTACAATTGCTTCAAAACTTGACAAATGCTTGTTACTGAATAGTGCTATAAGTTTTGCATTTAAGCATTTAAGTTTTTAATAATTTAAAAAAATCGGGTAAAATCAACCGGACCCCTGCGGTCGATATTTCCCCACGTTCCCCAAATGTTTAACGAATACACAATATGTCAAATTAAAAGCAATGATCAACACATGACCAAATTGTCGGCGATAAAGTGTTACATAATACCTAGTGTCATAAGCAAAAATTAAATTGCTAATTACATTATTGTATAAAAGAAAATTAGAGTAGGTAATAGAATATTCCGAGGAATATTCAATGTGAACACTAGAGTTCGCAAATGTCATTAAATAGATAAACTTCCAGACCACAAATTACCAAAAGTTTCAGTAAAAGATAATCTTCAAAATATCTATGTTGACACCAGACTGCGAAGTTCCGTAATACAAAAAATGTCAGTTACTCATTAGCACAACATTTTAAATTAGCAGCACAACCTAGCAATGAGTCCAAAATTATAGAAAATAAAAAAAAAGTACCTATCAATGTTGACACTACTGTAATAAGTAGGTACCTAACTACCTACTATAGGAGCGTCATCTGGAAATGTTGAATTTCTCATTAACGTGATAAACATAAAACTTTAAATTAGCATTATCAGTTTTGAAAATATCAATGTTGACACTACAGTGTAATGGAGTGTTTTGTGAAAAGTGTGTATACCTATTAGCTAAATATTTTAAATTATCAGCACAAATTAGCACAAAATGACCATAAAATAATGAGATACTTAGAACTTAGTTCCTTTCAAGCGAACACTACAACTTCACGGACTTATTTCCTCAAGAATGTGTGAATTTCTGATAACGTCGAATCAGCTTAGGTCCGCGAAGCCTAGTTTCTCATTTTATATTTCAAGGTAGAGCTTTTTGCATAAGGCGTTATTGAAGCAAAAAAGAATTTGAAATTTCTTGTGCAGGTATTAGACACCCTTCTATCGTTCATCGTCGAATCTTCCAGGGGTTCATGTACCGAGGGAAAATGTCTAGAGGGCGACTTTCCCTCTTTGGTACTTATAGGAGCGAGTTCTCCGGGGCGAATTTTTTTTTTGGAGACGCACGACAGTATTTTTTAACATTTTTAACAGAAAAATGAAAAGAAAGACGTTTGAATCCGCAAAGTAAAAGATGCGGCACTGTTGATTGAATGGAAACCCCTTCTCGTGACGTTGAAATGTTTTGGGGCGGAAAAAATCCATTCACGAATATGTTTTTGTCAACCTGTCGACGCGAAATCTTCATTGTTTTAAAATCTTCAGTGAGTGACTCGGCTAATGAAGGGGACAACAAAAATTAGCCCAGTTATACATACCTAAGCCAGACCATTCGCAGATGCTAATATTAAAGATTAAAATAATAAACATAATGTTAATATTATTATGTTGAATTTGATCATGTTTTTCGGTATAACATTGTCATAATATTTTTTTAATATCAACGTTATTACCAAATGACTTCGCATTCGGTATCTTCCAGAAGGGTAGAGCATAATTATATTATATACCTATGTACAGAATTTGCTTGATTTAGTTGTCTGATAGTCTATTTAAAAAAATGCACCTGCGATCTTTAAAAATCTGACTTAATTAGGGGTCAAATAATGCATGGCGAAATACCTGATTCCGAGAAGAGAGTAACTTTTTTGACGCAATGAATACTTGCTAAAACTTCTCACTGCATAATGGCGTCAATTTCGGACTGAGCATAGCTTCATTTGTTCGATTTTTTATTCACAAACGCATGGTAAATATTAAAATGGCGCCGTTTACATTATATATTCATATAAAACTGTAACGGAAATGCATCAATTGGTTTGGACTTTGGTTGTAATTCAGGTTTACGTGAATATCGTCAAAATTTCATTTAATTTTCCAATGTGGGGTAGGCGGAGAAGGTTTGCATAATCCGTACGTATCTACACACGATCAAAATCGAAAATGCGCCGTTTACTACCATTGAATAATAAGATTTATTATTGAATGTTACTACTGAAAGGGAAATGCAATCGATTTGAATCTGCCCCCAAACTGCGATATTCACCTGCGTTTATTAAAAAAAAATGACCACCACCAAAAGATTTCCTTTTAAGATAGCGTACTTAAATATATAATTAAAAATTAATCTGCCCCGTAAAGAGGTGTAAACAATTTATTACAGCACATAAAAACAAAGCAGTTAATTCGTGCGCGCGTGTAGCGAAATTGCACCGTATTTTTCAGGTAAAAATCGAGCAAAACTGACATCAATCATCGAAAGTGCGTTTAAAATTGCTCGATCACACATAAGGAACCTCAGGAATTTTATGAATGGCTTCAACTCTCACTCTATTAACGTAGTAAACTACATAAAGAGTGCAAACAACTTTGTTCTTTATGAATTATTCAAAAAAGGACGAATTAAATTTCATGCAGCCGAAATTTGATTGGCCCGTATGTTTTTTAAGGTCCCCTGGTTTCCAGTGCGTTAGTGCGGTGCAAGTAGTCTATGGGTTCGTGCAGTACGAGATGTAGTCTTTTTTTTTAAACAAACTAAACAGTTTATCGGTTGTTATTATGAACATTTTTTAATTGATTTTGTCTATTTTCGTGTGACGTTGCCGAAATTGCATTTGCGTTTAATGGAGAGGCGCGAATTGGACAATGGCAGAGGTAGGGATTTATTTTTCTATATGTAACCTTCGCTTTTATTTAACGCTAGCACGCAATTTGTTTTTGCAAATTTTTTTTTTATTTGTGCGTAGTTTATAAACATATGCAAGTGTGCAAAGAAGGCTAGTTGAGATTGGGATTATTGCAATTTTGAATATTAAGGCGCGCAAACGCGCTGCGCAGTGTTTTTGTCTATTTTTTCGAGTAATAAATTCAATGCGTATAGTTAAGTAATTATTAGTTTTAGGGTTGTTTCGTAAGGTTTTCTTTAGTTTGAATTTCCGGCAGGTGTTGATTCACTTCGATGATAATCGTTAAATCATGTTCTAAGAAGAAAGTGAACGTAACGCGCTCTTTCTGGGAAGTGCGTAATATTCGAAGAAATAGTAAACAGTTACAAGCGACGTTCCAAAAGCGACACCCTCTCGCTTTTAATTATCATTACTGTAACTGATATTTAAACCCCGAACTTCCGATTCGATAGGACGTTATCAAGTAGTAAGCGCAATTAAATTTAAAGAAAATGCGTGTATAAACGCATGAATTAAACATTACTCAACGGTCTTTGTCTATCAAAACTTAATTTATCTCTGAAGAAACTTAAAAATAGATTAGAAAGTGCATTGCACCCGATAGTAAGTTGCTTGTGGCTTGAGTCGCTTCTAAACTACCCCTAACTTCCCGGGACTCTTTCCCAGGCCATTCCACTCTAATCTATGACCCGCTTAGTATGTGATTCTATTTAAAACGAACGGCACATTAATTTTCTCACCGCGAGATTAAATTACTACCTCAAACTGCGTCTAGTAATGCAACGCATTCGGAAGTACCTACTCTGCGCTAGTCAAATCACCAAAAACTTGCGAAACTCTCTTTGGCGCCTTTAAAAATTGGCACATGTTCGTGACAAAAGCAGCTTGTAGGCACGCCACTGTTTTCTAGGTAACTATGCAGGTATTGTTGAAAACTACCCCTGTCTAGCAACCCTTATACTTGCCAGGTCACATCTTCAAACGGGCCATTGTAAACCGCGGGAAAATAGTAACGCCGAACCTTATCTTGCCTCTATAATGCGTAGAGGAGAATACGTTAGAATCATTCTCTGTGTATATTGTAGGTAGATTGCCATAAAAAATCGAGATTTGTTTGACGAAACTATTTCCTCGCACTGTATTTGATTAGATGATCTCCATTATCGGTGAATCGGGCAACTATAGAAAATTAGTGAATTATCGTTATACCTATTTACTTACCAGCGCGGAAGGCAGCTGGCATTCATCCAGTTTGGCGAAAAAAACAACATTCCTACCTTCGAATTGCATTTTACAGCGACAAAACGCAAAGTACAAACGATAGTACTCAAAAATAAACATTTCGTGTCCCCCTGTCATTGTAGAAACCAAATCCGTTTTGCTTTTTGCCGTTTTACTTGAGTACAAAGTTTTATACCTCAAAGCTCTTGAAACAGTAGCATTTATGTAGGTAGTAAAAATACATCCTCCGTGTCCATTGATGTACCTACGTTTGGAAACCTGCAAAAAGAGTAAAAAGCTAAAATGTTATAAGTAGACATGACAAGTTTAAGTAGTTTATCTCATTTTCAGTTTCGGTTTGCGAATGTACCTACTTTGCATTTCAATTCATACAATAAAATCCCTGGATTGAGCTGCAGAAATCGACCTTTAATTTATTAGTAGGTACAATGCAACCTCTGAAGCATTATGTAACTGAAGCACCTTCAAATGTCATTTTAATTAACATTACCCAAGTTTCAGAGAAGGATACCATAAAAAATTCCCATACAACTTTGACTGTTTCGATAATTTCAGCCTTGCTGTAGTATGACATTTTAATGGAGAACGAGCAATTGATATTCCGCTTGTTTCCTCTTTTTCTTTAAATTTACATATGAATGAGTGTGTAAAGAGGGTACAATCGAATTCCGCTGCTAGGGACATAGAAAACGCTGTGTGTTGCAGTTGCATTATGATTTTCTGCGGAAGAGATGAAAATACACGAAAGGAGTGGTTCTAGAATTGTAGACTGCCAACAACTTATGCCTGTTGCTGTGATTTATACCGCCAATTTACTTTTAACAAGGATTTCTGGTCGTTCTAGTGATAAAAGAATCGAAATTCTGTAAGTAATAGCCTTCCTTGTGCAAAAATTGTCGAAAACCGTCGATTTTTGTTAAAAAAGACCTTTACAGTAATGTATAAGGGCATGATTTAGATCGTTATGACACTTTTTCATTTTCCGAATATCTTTTTGAAGTAAAATTCGTGGCTTGAGAAATACTGGAGGCGTCAAAGGTGTAAAATACGTTGTCCTACAATAATAGAAGAAGTAAGAGCCTGTTTTAATCAATAAAGTTCCATCATCTTTCAACAGAAAATTACGCATAAGTTAGTACTTAACATTAACAACAGTGAGTCAAAGTTGCTATCTAAGCATGAAAGGTTTTGCTATGTTGTAAGCATCTTCAAACGGGAAAATATATCCAATCAATATCACAAACAAATAGGTACCATTGCGTTGTGAAAAGTACATCAGTCTGAAGTGGTAAAGCGTTTACAAAGGAATACCCATGCTCTGAAACTGTCAATGATAGAAAAAAAACGGGGGTGGACAAACTTAAATAGAATGGCAATACCCAACCGTTAAAACATTAATAGCAGTCCAGCAGTAAGTCTGAGAAGTCTAACTGCACAAGGAGTTACAGCCGTTAAAGGCGATTTCTCTTTTGAATTGTATCATCGAGAACATATTCTAAACAGAAACCTCACTGAACCATCACTTTTAACTTTTGCACAGTCGGCCATTATTTTCATCATCTATCGTCGTATACAGATTATTTTTAGATGAAATTCTGTTTCTGGAGAGTAGAAACCTGATGACGATAGTCTTGTAAGCGGTACAGACTGATTTCCAGTCATACAAAGCAGAGTTAGGGGATATTTTTGAAGCACGCCATCCATAATTTAGGTTCGAAGAGGACCACCGCCTATTTTAAAGTGCAAAAGGGCCAAGAGGTCAGATAAAACATCATTCTTCCCTGAATATGAGGTTGTCTGTTTTATTTTCCAAACTATTCCTGATTGAAGTTGCAAACGTGTTCTTGTTTATGTAGTTGAAGACATATTGAGGTGACCATTTTGTACTAAACTGTTTCAAACCAGTATAGACAACGAGCGACAAACACACACGGTCGGACAGAAAGTCCAAATGACAAAAATTTAATCAGTTAATCTCTTGACTGAAAACTGAAAGCAGGATTCGAAAATTCGAAACCGTTCACGAGTTCATGTACACAAATGGACGGACGAGCCTAGTAACGATCTGTGTCACTCGTTAATACATAATCCAAAACATCGCATGGGCTTTTAAAACATATTGTTTCATAATCAGATGAAGCATACCTTAAATGGGAGAAAACTAGGAAAAGTCATGTGTTAATAGTTTAGCTTATGTTGGCAGATCGGGAGAAGCGAAGGCGGATTAGACAATTATATATAATTAAAGGTGCCAAAGCCCAGTTTGAATTTCATGCATTCGATTCATAACTAACGCAGATGTCGAAATAACCTTCCTTATTTTTTTTACCTACATGCCAATTCACGAACTCCGATCTACATTTTTCGATAAAGAATCCACTAGCAAAATTTCATCGTAGTCGGTTCATCTGTTCTCTTTTAAATCGATGGACATGAAGCCATCTAGCGATCAGACGATTGGGAGAAAGCATAAGCGACCATTTGCCATATCCTTGATGCTATCTAAAATTTTAGTTAATGACGTCTTGGGCAATAACCACTTGATCGTCTTCAAAATGTAATGTGTATAAGTACTCGTTTATTATCGGCACTCTTATTCCTTCACATTTCCGTTTCCAAAGTTTTAAGGTATGCTCTAGGTATATTTTAAAAAGAGCCGTTGATGTGGATCAACCTTGTAGTAGACCTTTAGTTGTTTCAAAATTTGTTTTTGTTTTCGTTCCTGATTTGATGGCTACTCGGTTGTTTCTCTACATGTTTTTCAGTGCCTCTATGAGTTTGCCTAAAAGCCATTTCGGCCATAACTTTCCAGACTTTGCTTCTCGGTACTCCATAAGTGGTAAGTGAATTGCCACATATATGGTCCATTATTGATCTCCCCACTGTGAAACTCGCTTGTTCTCCTCCTATTTTTCTTTCTATGTTTCCTCTATTTTATTTCTTGGTAACTTTCCATAGACTTTTCGCAGCGTTGCTATTACGTTTATTCCTCTCTAGTTTTCACATATTTTTCGTTTGCCTTTCTTGAATATTGATAAGTTTGTTTCCACTCGTCGAACATTTATTCACCGTTTATTACTTGCTGCAACGTGTTTCTGATCATGCGAAGTAATTATTCGTAAATTCCGGGGCGATATCTCAAGATCCTGGTGATTTATTGTTCTTAATTGATTTGATTACCCTAGTAACATCAGCTTGTGTAATTTCCGTTATATCTTCCTCATGAATTCCTACTTTCTTCTCATTGTTCTATAAATTCGTCCCTTTTTTCCGTTAAACGATCCTTGTCATATTTATCCTATTCCTTTTCCCTGATATGTGTGCTTTCGGTTTGTTATTTGTTCTTAGCGCTTTTATGACTTTCCAGAATTCCGTGATTCTTGTCCTTCCGATGTATTGGTCGAAGTATTGGCATTCTTTGCCCTTTTACTTCCCTATTCTTCTCTCTATACTTGCTAATCTTCATTCTTTTTCGTGCTTACCCATTTTCCGTATAGTTTTTTCAGGTTAATTGCATCCGTGATTGTTTCGTTAAATGCCCACTTATATTCTTTCCATGTTTTCTCTACTTCTAGTGCTTCAAGTGCGGTCTCCTTAATGGTATTCTTAATGTGTATGTACGTTTCTTCCATGGTATGGCATATAAACTCGTTTATCTTCTTGCATACAATTCCCTTACTGTTTCATCTTGCATCAGTTAAAGTTTTAGCGTTGCTTCTTTATGGACTTTTCCTCCCTTTGTCGGCGTATCATCGTTGCCTTTTATCGTTTTCCTATCCCGCCACCAGAACTCCATTTTTGCTACTAGCAGTTTGTGGTCGCTATCGCAATCGGACCCTCTTTTCAATCTTACATCTTTGATTGTTATTATAGCGCTCTTCTTTACTATTATCTGTGGTCGACGATTGATTTGAGTTTTCGTATCTCTTGCGTTCAAGTATATTCATGAATGTTCTTGTGTTTAAAAAATCCGTTTGCTATTTTGAGGTTATATATTTCACACAAATCAATTATTCGTTCTCCGTTGTCATTTAGACCCTTTTCCCCAAACTGCCCTACTGTTTCAACATTAATTTTCCTTCTTGTTTTTCCATTTAGATCGCCGGCAATCATTATTTCTTCTGTTACCCTTAATTTTTTTTTTCTTCCGTTAGAGTGTCAATAAATTTCATTTCGTCTGCCCCTGGGCTATCCTCTAGCATCGTGATGTCCCTTTTATGTAGACCTCGATGTAGACAAACTAAGTTTTATTATTCTTTCAGTGCGGATCAGAGGCTAGCTCCTAAATCTCATCATCTTCAATTTTTCGACATTTATAATTCCATTCCCTTTCGCAGTATCTCTCATTTTCCTTCATCTGTTTTACCTCTGTAAATTACTATTATTAGTGTGTCGTTCACGTATTGCGAGGACCATATCTTCCTTCTTCACACTCCATTGCTCTTATTATTTTCTACGTATCGATGTAAGAGTTAAATAAACTAAACAAATATAGAAAACGATCTCCTGGGTATGGCTATAGCATGTGCAAAACCAAATTTTAAACCTGATGTTAGTTTTGCTTTTATTTAAAGTGTATATGTATAAAATTTCATTTAATTGCTTCCAATAAATAAGAAAGTTGGCACTGCACATCCTACACAAAACCAAATTTGGAGAATGGCGCTACATTTGCTTTTATTCCAAGTGGTTATGTATCACATTTCATTTAAATACCTTCATAAATAAAAAAGTTTGCAATTCGGTTTATAAATGGTCGAGATGCGAAAAGGGCACTGTGAATGCTATACCTACGTATATTGAATTTCATGCAATTCGGTTCATAACTCACGGAGATGTCAAAAGAGCTTTCTTTATTATTTGGGCTACATTGCCAATTCACGAACTCCGATCTACAAATTTGATAAAAAATTCATCTACATTTTATCGTAATCGGTAATCGGTCTACTCGGTACTAACGTACGGACAGACGGACAGACACCGCAAAATTATAAACTCGCTAGGAGCTCGTTAATAAGGTGGAATCCTTGTCTCAGTTATTCACTTCAGACTACTTCCCTCTTGTCCTTACTTTTTGTCTTTCCATTGATTATATCCTTTAAATTTATATCTATTTTCCCATCCTTCAATCATTCTCCATACCTTTTCCCATTGTGGTCTGTCAATGCTGCCTCTAAATCATGAAAAAATGAAGCAAAAAGGAAATGTAGTGATAGTAAACCGGATAGCGTCACTTAGTCTTTAGTAAATTTAAGAACTTACCAAAAGGGAAACAAGTCATCCTTGTTCTAGTCTTGATACGGTCAAGAAATAAAATAATTGACAGGAATAGAACATAAACAAAAATTGTTGTCACAATCGATGGTTATTTAATAAATAATTTCCAACCTTTTGAAGACCATATCAAAAGAATCAGTTTTTCTAAAAAATATGAAACTTGCGTTGCACCTTCTTTGCTCAAGTTCGAAAAAGGCAATATAAGTAAGTCGAATGTTGCAATTCCGAGAATCAAGTAAAATTCAAAAATTACATGATGCGGAATTCGTAGATAACTTAATTAGCGGCATAACTAAAAGGCGTTACTTATCTTATGAAATTCTTTTACTAACGATACCAGTACATTGGTCCACTAAAGTCCTAAAGAGTGTGTCACATTTGTGAATGATTAAGAAATTACTAATTTTGAAAAGATGAATCACGAAATTCCAATTTGTTTACGCTAAATCTGAAGATTCGACTAAAGAAACTTTACGCCAAAAAGTACTTGAATTGAGAGAACATTTTGAAATGCAAATATAAACACGATTAAAATATGTGACTAACACAAATTCCTAAAATTGTCATTAGTATTTGATTCCGCAAATTATTGACTCATCAAATACGTTCTTATCTGGGCTAGGCGCCTTACAATTTTTGGGTGAAAGGAGCGTCCGCAATAAGGCATCAACAATTTGGCTCCTCCTTTGAATTCCGTTTTATATTAATTAAAACTAGCCACTTGCATAATGGAATGCCTTACTAATGTTTTGGAACGTTGTACTACTTAATTAAATATTTCCAGATTGTTAAAAAACCAGCTGTATAATGAATAGGAATACTACTAATTAATTTAACTCAAAATTACGTACTGAAAGTTATGTAAATGTGCACAGTTTCCGGTCTCGTACTACGTAAAAATATGTGAAATTTGCACAATGATAACAGCTTATCGGATTGTTATTGTAAATTCGTCGAGGTGAGTGAATGAAATTTGGTTTTTGTTACAGGGTCCGATGGCGGAAGCGCCAGTCAAGGAGGTTCGGAGGCAAGTTTCGGCGTTCGGAGAGGAAAATGCAAATGGTTTAATGTGGCAAAGGGTTGGGGTTTTATAACGCCGGATGATGGGGGACAAGACGTTTTTGTGCATCAGGTAAGTGCAGGGGACATTAATATACGCATTTATGTTGTACAGGTGGCGCGTTGGTTTGGAAAAGTAATCTTCCAAATTAGATTTATAACTCCGAATTGTATTAAAGAGCGACATTTTTAATTTTAGTCATCTTCTGTAGCTTTGCGATATCCGAAATTACGTGTTACATGCCTCACTTTAGATATTTCACAAATACGAGTCCAAATTAAAAGACAAGAAATTATGTTAATACCTAAATAGAAAACCGCTAGGGTTACTGTATATCATTATGGACAGTTAAGGGTATGATATGGTCCGGTAAGGTTTCTAACTTACCTAACCTATACATTAGACTGTGCTCTTCTTAGTAATCATCAAGTTGTCCCAAAAATGGATACAAAGGATTAATTTTAAACTTTAAATTACACATGTCAATTCTTTCTTCAATTTTAAATACTGTGAAGTTCTTAAAATTGAAAGTCGTGCGGCATTTACATGTCACTTTTAAACTCATTTCCAAGGAAATTGACGGTGTAAAATCTTTTGCGATCAATTTTATGGTAAAATTGAAAAAATCATAGTTTGTGAAACCGGGCATAGAAAAAACTTTGCCATTTTTCAGAACACAGTTTATATATAGTATGTAAAACGAACTTTGAAGATAAATAAAATGGACGCCCATGCACCTATACGATTGGACAGCCCAACCAATAGTCATGATTTCATGAAAATAAAAAACGCTTTCAAGAGGGTTTTCTTGTATAGACCGTTCAAGTGTGAATTAGACAGTGGGTTTATTAGGCAGACCTTTCGTTGTTGAAATTGGTTCACTTTTTCCGTATTACCAGATTCCTGGTCGCATTTAGTTAGGAAATTGAACCGTATTTTATTGAGGCGTCACAAACATGAACTGACTCTTTCGGTTTCTCATCTTATTGTGTTGATACTTCTCGGGCCTGTTTGACGAAAGTATAATGGTATTCACTAGAAAATCATCATGTTCAAAGCATTATAGGTAACCAATTTTTCTTATTAGCGCATTTTTGCAAATTTAATTGTAAAAAGTAGCTTTTAATCTCACTTTGGCTGGCTGGCTGGCTGGCTGGTCGGCTGGCTGGCAGCAAATGTGGGCGCGTAGAAGAACTCTTGTAGAAAGGCAACTGGTGTACGTGTATCTACAAGGCCGTGTAATTTGTAAACCTTGGGGACAGGGCTACATGATGTGGGGTTGGCGACATCTGGGCGTCGTCCTCGAGCGTAGTATACTAACGTGAAGGTTTTTCAGTTTTTTCCTATCTTCTACTACAGTTTTGGTCCGATTCTTTTCAAATTAGTGTCGTCGGAAAGATGTTGTAAACGCGCACAACTCCTGCGTGGCGGAATTTTGTTTTTTGGCCTAGGGGCGAAATTAACGACCTTTTGCATGGCGCGCGCGCGCGTCTTCGAGAGGTAGTCAACTTCGGGCACCTTTTACTTTCCGTTGCGAATTCTGTCACGCGTTTTAACGTTTCGTAAATCTCGAATGGCTGTCTCTCTTTCTCGTGTCGCCAATAGAAGCTCGAGCAATGAGAAGTGCCCCCAAAAATTAAGTACTATCTTGTGGAAGGTTTTTAGCGAGATCCACCAAAATGTGGGTGTAATATAAGTATGCACCGAAAAAGGAAATGTGGTAGCATCCGACAAGATCTAACTGATGGTGGAGAAAAATCTTCAAACGCGAATTGCGGGTCGGAAGTGAGTACCGTCAAAGGGAATGTGGTAGCCTCCGACACGATCTTACTGATGGCGGAGTCAAATCTTCAAACGCGAATTGCGGGTGAACGGGACGTCGGAAGTGGGTACCGTCAAAGGGAATGTGGTAGCCCCCAACACGATCTTACTGATGGTGGATTTAAATCTTCAAACGCGAATTGCGGGTGAACGGGACATCGGAAGTGGGTACCGTCAAAGGGAATGTGGTATCCTTCGACAAGATCTTTTATTCATGGTTGAGTCAAAAGTGGCTAATAGAATACTGATCTGCCACACAAAAATGCGCTGAGTCCCTTCGATCTCACACGAGGACTTTGATAATTTTCTTTTGAATAGAAAAGTGACTTTGACGTCCAAACTGTGCATTAATGTAACAGAAACATTGGCAAATGTTATGTATTGAGTAAAATTTTCGGGTAAATGATTAAACACTAAGTTTTTGATTAATTTGTTGACTAACTTCATCGAGAAATCATCAAAATCTTTGAATTCATACCTGACTTGATGCGCGAGAATCACTTTTGAACACTTTTTGGGTAATTTCTTAGTAGAAAATATTTATTTATTGGCCAAGGTCGTTGGAAACACGGAAAAACATATATGGCATATATACAAGAACTGAATTTTTTTATCTTCCTTCGTAATCTTTCATTTTCTGATGCATTTACTAAAGTAATTCACTAGGTAATTCATCGCGAAAGCATAAAAATTCATTGCAATGGCTTAATGCACAAGAATAATTTTTGAGCACTTTTTGGGCAACTTCTTAGTAGAAAATCTTCATTTATTGGTCACGTTCTTTGGAAACACGCCGAAGCTTGTGGCCTTAATATAATTTCTGGTCAATTTTTGACCAACTTCGTAGGGAAAGCAGCACAATTATTTGCATTGATACAAAAATTGTTGCAGAAGAACAATTTTTGAACACGTTTGGGTAATTGGTTAGTAGAAAATACTCATTTATTGGCTTAAGTCGTTGGAAACACAGTAACGCACATGACGTTAATACTCGGGAACTAAATTTTGTGATTTTCCTTCGTGTTCCTTTACCTTCTGGCCAATTTTTCGTAACTTCCACAGAGAATATTATTTTGCGTTTTTCGGCAATTTTATTTCGAATCTTTATTAACTTGTAGTAGTGAAGTTGTACACTTCCTCTTCCAGATGGTCAATTGTTTTGAGCGGGATCCGAAGGGCAATTCTGTTTTCTAAAGTAGGAGGTAGAAACAGAACGTGATATGATACTTTTGGCAAACAATGTCCATGAACTCGCTAGAATGATGGAACACAATATACTACAAGAGGAGGCATATTGTTTAAAATTAATAAAAAGAAATCAAATGTGATGAAGATCGGAGAAATGGAATCGTTAAATGTTCAAGGAGTGAGCGGGTGAACAGATACAATTATGTTGGAACCACAGAAACGGAGGAATGGAAAAGTATTGCAAATAGTGGGGATGGCTAAAGAGGCATTTAGGTAGAAACAGATATTACCTACTTGTAGTAAAATGAAGCTGGAGTTGAAGAAAAGGCTAGTGAAGGAAAAGAAAATGATAGAAAGCCAGAAAGGCTGGAGATGTGGTTATGGAGATGTGTTTTGAGAATAAAGTGGTCAAATATACAGTTAGAAATGAAGATGTCTATCGCGAATAGGGGAGACATAACAGAAAAAAAAGTGATTGGAATGGACGCGCTATAGCTATACGACCCCAGTGGTTTGCAACTTCTGTTTCTTTTGTGTGGCGTACATCGCTGTATTTCTAATAAAAATTGCTACTGAATACAGTATGTACTTTTTTTACATATAAAAAAATACAGTTGATGATGATTTTTCCGAAACGAAACGTTGTATTGAAAATCCCTCAAAACTCTCAAAAAGAAGCAACGAAAAAGTGTTTTTTATTTTTTTTGTATCTGTTCAAATAAGATCAGAAAAAAATAGAAAACGAAATCGGCAAATTTCGGTTTTTCTGGCACATCTTTGGAAGTAATCGGAATAATTTGATCATCTTCTATGGTTTCCGAAATCCCCATGATATACATCCTTATCTTGGACACAGTGTATGCAAAATTTGGTTCAGATGAGTTGAGTAATGATTGTTAGATGATTTGGAGCATGATTTCAGAATATTTCAGGTCTTAGCAATCAACCCCGATTGTGATTTGATCGATTTACTCACTTACTCTTACAAAATTAATATATTATAGCGTTTTAATCAACAAAATGTCGTATTTTTAACCCTTAAAAAGCAACCCTTATGACACTGCAATTGTTAAAAATTACTTATTAGATACATATGGAAAAATACATAGATACAAAAATTTATAGAAATATTTATAATTCAATCATTTTAATATTTTAAAATTCTTCATTCATTTCATCAACGTCATGACTGTCCTCTTCCTCATCTTCTTCAAGACTTGTCACCATTTTCGCCGCATCATTCACAATAAGTCAAGTCCTTTTTTAATGAGAGAAAATTCATTAAAATACCATTTTGTCTTACAAGAGCTACAAGTCAATTTACATTAAATCCTTTTTAAAAGAGGGCGAGATTAAAGGGCTGAAATAAAGTAGTGCTCTCATATAAATATAAATTTAATTTTAAAAGTCTCTTAATTTTTGTCGCTACAATTTGATAATATAGTATTTTTTCAGTTGCCATTTTTTCACAAAATTGTAGAAATTCTTTTTTCACTTTTATATATCCAATTATTTCAAAATTAAATATTCTTAACTAGTCCAACTTCTAGAACACGCTTAATTTTGATGTTCTTTTTAAATAAAGAAGATTTTGTGAAAAATATTGTAGTTTTTCTAAAAAAATATATAGTTTTCTCGTTATCTGATTTTGAAACTTTCTAACTTATCGTTTGACGAACAAGAGCTAACATTTAACAAGGTTCTATTTTGTTTGTTTGTGAAAATTTTCTTCTACACAGTTCTTTTTCTAAGATGCATAGTTTTAGAGTTTTTTAAACAAGGATCTCTTCTATGAAAAACTGATACCTTCGGTCGCGAATAATTCGAAAAGCATTAATTTAAAAAAAAATGTATACTTAGATCACTTTTTTGCTTAGAATTAATTTTTCTATCTATTTATTCCTGCGGTCAAATTCTAATAAAAAATTGTCAAACCCGATATGGGGTAGCAACCACCCTTAAGGTAAAAGCGTCCGCGGTATAACATAGATTTTGATCCTTATTCTATTCTATCTACTGTCAAAATTTCTAGTTAATTTTGAAAAAGTTGCCAGGTCAAAACC